CAGCATTGCCCATTGATATTATTTGCTGCTACATTCTAGACACCTATAGGGAACTCTTAAGCCATCTCTGAATGCTCCTTGAATCTTCTGGCCATGTGGACACTGCGCCAGATGGACTCCATATGCTGGGGGTCAGCTGGGCTGGTCTCTAGGCCTCGTGTGGCTCCAGTTTCACCTGGAAGTATGCCAGCTCTCAGGTCTATCCTCACTTCCTTGATGTGTCGTGACTGCTAGAAACTTCCAGGCATTACACCTTACCCCTAAAGCAGATAAAAAATTGCCTCTTACTTATCTTTGCTGTAACAGATCTCAAATTGTCTAGCTTAGAGTGCCCAAACTGTGTTGCCTAAATTTTTAGAAAGTCTAAAAGGAGCAAGTACACAATTTTGTGAATTAAATTAAAACCTGAACTTTATATAATTTAAAGTTTTTCTTCTGTCTTCTGGCTCATTTCACCTAAATCTTTCCATAATAAGAACTTCAAAAATAGGATACAGTGGAACTACAAAGTGACTGTGTTCACATTCCTCACTTCCCAGATAAGACACAAAAGAAGAAGGCTTCAAAAACTGACCAAGGCCCTGCAACAAGTTCCAAGGCAGAGCAGGAAGTTAGACCTCCTAACTTCTAATGAGGTCCACATAATTATCAGGAGGGTCTAACAGTGGACACAGAGCTGTGGAGTATAAAAAAAGGGAGAAAACTACTACTGATTAAGCACCTACTAGAGACTAAAACATAGCATATGTTCTGTCACCCAATCTCACAATAACCCTATGATAATGGTCATATTTGAATCTCGTGCTTATCTATCTATCTATCTATCTATCTATCTATCTATTTGTTTAATGAGGTGGTGGGGTTAAAACCAGGGCCTTGGGCATGCTGAGTTACACTCTATAACCCTCACATATTTTAAAGAAGAGGAAACAGAATCAACAAATTTAAGTATTTCCCCAAACTCACATGCCTCGCAAGTAATAGACAAAGAACTGGATCCCCAAGCTATCCAGGCCCACATCCTGTGGATCTCCCCCTGCTAACCCAGTTCTGAGGCTAGAAAGACAATGTAGTAAAAACTTAACTAAGAATGTCATCAAATACAATACCTGAAATAGACTCTGAATATTAATTTCCTCATCAAACTCCATATTCTAAAATAAAATAATAATTTTGGCATATATATTTTATAGGAGTTTCCTTTACTGAAGGGTCTGTATGAATGAGGGATGTAAAAATATGACAAGCATCCATAACCTTATGGGATGAACCATTGCCCACGCTTGTTGCTTCCTATGAATAACATCCACCTCGTTTTATTCATAGCACTGCCACTAATTTATTCTCAAGCATCAGTTAATTAATTTTCTTTTTCCCTCACTAGGATGTAAAAATTCAGGAGGGACCTAAGGGAGCCAGGGAGCTGTTGGTTCCTATTTGTATGGTCCATATCACAAAGTAGAAGCTGAGGCTTCCAAAGCAGAGCAGGAGTCCAAGCTGCAGAGAATTCTAGCATGCTTAGGACCTGGCATCTGTGGGTTTCTCTTCTCAGGTGCATAATGCATGCCTGGTGAAACAAGAACAAACATCCCTGTCTTGGATACACAGATTTAGCCAAATTGACAAGCCTTTGACTTCACCGTCTACCTGAGAAATAATGTACATTTGGGGAAACAAAAGAAAAGTTTTCCCATAGGTTTGCTTAAATAACATTAAAAATAAACCTATGGACAACCTATTCTTCCTCTACTGTGACTTTTGTTTTGTAATGAATCAACATCATGACAAGGTTAATGATTATAAAATAAATGAAAGTTATAAAAATCTAGTACAAATTATTTAATTATTCATGTTCTCTTATGATGTTGGTTAATAACCTAGCACAAATACTACTTAATGCTATTTTAAAAATTGTCATTATGAGTACAATTAATATTTATATTTGAAAAACATAATATATATTTGTATGACTCATACAAGATGGAAAGCATAATTCACTTAAACAGTGCCACCAACAAATTTAAGAGCAAAGAAGAAAACCAAAGTATGTTGCATTTGAAGTTTATATTTTATTTTTAATATTGGAACTACATATTAGTTCTCTTACATTTTTCCAGGATAATGTATCTAAATAAGCAGAAGCTACATGGGGATCATAGCAAATCTATAGGCCCTGTTTAGGTAGACAGTTTGCTGTACAGAAATTAACTGCATCTCATTCTATTTAAAGCCCAAAATCCCAATTTACATACAGTGGTACCTTGGTTCAAGAACTTAATTCATTCCACAATTCTGGCTTCAGAATTTGTTCCAGGAATACATGTACATATGCTTGCAGTTCTGTTGCAACCAGATTCATGGAACAATTTAAGTTCATGAACCAAGGTATCACTGTATGTAACAGATGTGCCCCTGGAACATAGGGGCTATGCTGTCTTGAAAAAAATGCCTAGGACAAAGTCTTCATGATGAAATTTCATGCAAATAAAAAGCAAATAAAATACTTTCCTCATTAATAGACATAGGATGTTCTTGTAAAACATAAACCAATGTCTCATTTCTTCATTTTCTTTCTCATTATAAAATTCCAACTGCCTTTTCCAGCAGGCATCCTTTGTGATATTTCAACAAGCATTGAAACACATGGGAGTGTGCATGGCTGAATTGCTCTGTGGAGATTGACTGCAGTGTCAATTTTTCATTCTGTGTTTTTACACAGAGCCTTCAATGCCCTCACAATTGTGGCATCTTAAATCACACAGCTTGGCCAAAGGAGGAAAATCCAAGGTTGTGGAGAAAATGGCCATAATATGAGAGAAATGCTATACTGGAGGTAGAAGGAAACACTTTAGCATTGTTGTTTTTATTAATCTCTTAAGGGAAATAACTGGAAAAGCTTCCATGGTGGGAAATGCTCCATGACAGCAAATACCTGAGACTTTACAATGACACAACTGGACTATGCAAGATTAGAAAAGACAGGTCCTGCATGTTTTTCTCCAAGATCAGCTGTGCTAGTGTGAGTATAGGAGCTTTGAAATGTCAAGAGTTAAGGCCACTTAGACTGGCTGAAAATGTTTTCTGAGCCTGGATAGATGTGCATCCATTAATGATCACTAATTACCACCGTAGCAAAAGGGGACTTAATAAAGAATTTTATTCTCCATTTTAAGAGATGACGGAACCAATAGCAACTGATACTAATTTTAACTCAGAAAACTGGCCAACAAGCTGTGCTTTCCATGGTGTGCACAAACGTGTGATGTACAAATGCTGTGGCTATATTCAAAACATGATTGAATAGGAATATTCACCCCATTGTATTGCACATTGAACTCTCCTCTCATTTCGAAGTGATTCAAAATTGTCTCTTAAAAGCATGAAAACAGATAAAACAACATGCATATTTCTATTTACTTATCTATGTTCAAAACTGAGAAAGGAAATAAAATGAGCTTTTATAAGTACCACAATCACTTGTTACCACTGCTTTTTAGATACAGGGATGGTTCTAAAATATATATATATGTATATATACATATATACATATATATGTATATATACGTATATATACATATATATACATATATGTATATATATATGTATATATTGCTTTCATTGTGAAAGTATTCCATTTTCCATTCTAGTAGCTACAAAAAGGTTATTGCTTTTTTAAGAACTCTGAAGAGGCATGCATTAAGTTGATATTTAATAATATGATTATCAATTCTTGGCACTGTGTATTCTATATATTCACAACTACGAATGCAAACTTGTCTTTCATTAGCAAACATAAATGAATTAGACTATATTGATTGGGCCAGTTTAATGAGTTTTCCTAAACAGTGTTAAAAATAGTACAATATATCTTTATTAAATACTAAATTTTGTGAATAGTAAATAATCAATAAATCAATCATCATTGATTAATTTTATTACATTTTAGGGCTGGGGATTTAGCTCAGTGGTTCTGCTGCCTGCCTTGCAAGCCCAAGGATCCAAGTTCGATCCCCGGTACCAAAAAAAAACTAACTGGAATTTTATTATATTTTAGGCAGGGTGAAATGTGGCAATTTTCTTAAATTTTTTAACTTTAATACTATCGCTCAAAATAAATATTTCCTTATTCATTTTTTGCTTTTCCTATCCAAACACACAATAGGAATAAAAGTTAATGTTATATCTAAGAAACAAAATAATAAAAACTATTTCTAGCTGAAAGACTACAGAATACTAAAACCTTTTTTTAAGAGGTTCTCCATTTTGCAACTCAGTGAAGAGAAAACAAAAAGGTAGATGGTAGATAGCCAGATAGACACAGAAGTAAGGTAGATATAGCTAAAGTAGAGACTTAACATGTACAACTGAAGATTTATAAGAAAACTGAATCTTTAATAATATAGTAAGTGGCAAAGTATATAAATTTCAAAACAGGTTAGCCTGAATCTCTTTTCTTTATCTTGATAAAAAGAAAGACTTGATGAAAAATGGTGGCGTTATATCAATGGTAGACACACAACTACTTTGTGAAGTAGTACAAGAAGAAGTCCTATAAGTAATTCTTCTTATGAAGTGGTCATCAGGGCAGTAAGTGGCTGCCCTTCCTAGTCTTGCTGGGCAGGGTCACTGTCATTGTGCCTCTCCACACAATGACAGCTCTGCAGTGGATGCGTCATCAGAAGGCTGTCAACCCCCCCTGGGATTTATCTGTGCTAATATTTGTATAAGTTGTTATCATTCTTATTCATGCTCTGTTTTCAATTTGGTCTGACTTTTTAGGTGATCTCAGTTCTCTGAGAAAACGTAAGCATTAATGTTTTTATTAAGCATTTTTTGCAAAATACATTCAGATGTGGCTTAACAGCAGAAGTGCCTGATTCAATCACTAAATCTTAAAAAGTAAATTTTGTGCATGTTTTACAACAGGAAAATAAATAATTAAACAAATAATTCTGTTTACGTTGGGCTGCTGGGTTGATTCGTTGTTTTCTCATTGAAAGAAACACAACCAATGACAGGAGGCTCCTGATCTGCCCTGCATAACCAGCAGGAGGAGGAGGGATGGATGCAGACATGACCTCAATGTGGACCGAAACAGGAAGCTCTCCCCAGGTCTGGCAAGGGAAACACAAGATGAATATACTGAAACAGCACTGCAAGAATTAATGTGTCCTGAAGTGAGGCCTTGGAAATCAAAGCAACACAGCCCTGGGTCATGAGGCAGACTGGAATGGATGGCTCTTCCTGAACATTCTGGCCATTCTGGGCAGCACTTATCATATTGCCCTGAAGTTGTTTTTTCTGGCCTCCACTCTCATGCAAGCCTTGGGATGGAACACCAGCCCTCAGTCTTGCTGCCCTCCCCACTCTGTAATAGCCCTGGTACAGAGTAGATGACCCCAAGTGTTTGCTGAATACACAGAGTGATTTAGGATTAAAGATGTGTCCTCACATGGAAAGGAAATGGAGAGAAAATCAAGAAAAGCAAGGAGAGAATTCTTGCTTTTCAAGTGGCCTTAGTGTGTCAGAAGGCCAGCCAGGTGTAAGTCTATATCCTATCCTGTGAGGCACATATTTCCATTTTCACAGAGGACACTCAAGTTCAAAAGTTGAGCTAGTCACCCAAAATCGACACAATGAGTGACTAGCTAGGCCAGAATTTGACATCTTCTGTGTCTTAGGATTCCACATTTGGGCTCCTTCAGGTTACCAGTGCTGTGTAGGATCTTTGTTTTGGGAAGCTACATTTATAGACCTTTTGGGCATAACACTGAATTTATTGAAGTCCAGAGTGTCAGCAATACAGTATTATGACCATGACTTCCCAATTAGGAAAAAAAAAGCCACTAATAATTAATTGTTTCTTTGTTTCAATTCCAATGGTTTCACTTTTTTTTAATTTTAATTTTTTGGTACCGGGGTTGGAACTCAGGACCTTGCACTTGCGAGGCAGGCAGTGGAACCACTGAGCTAAATCCACAGCCCTCCAATGGTTTCACTTTTAATTCTTTAGGATATGTTATAAGACTGTTATATTGTAAGAGTGATTAATGTGTTGAGTAGTTCTTTCTCTCTAATGTAAAACATGAGACACAAAATGCAAAAGCACTTATGAAAGATAAGTTTCTGAAGTTCAAGATCACTAGTCTATAATCAAACATAACCTTTTAGATGAAAACAAACACACATTCAGCATGCTTGTTGTGCAACTAAATAATTTGTACATTTTTTTTTTTGGTACCAGGGATTGAACTCGGGACCTTGCGCTTGCGAGGCAGGTGCCGGAACCACTGAGCTAAATCCCTGGCAATTTGTACATATTTTTGCAGTTCTTCCTGCCATACATTAGTAATTTAGACTCAGTGTGAGGTACACATTAGACTTAGGATAAGTCTGGTTTAAAGAGCAAATACACTTTTGAAAATATTGGCTACGGTCACTTTCAATGAAAACGATTTCTTCTTATCTTTATTTAGCTTACAAATGTCATCCAATAATTAGTTTTCAAGACAGGCAAACCCCATGGAGAAAAGAAGATATCTCTTCTTTGGGAGAGAAGGAGTCAATGTATCATCTTTGCTTTGTTCCTCAGAGGGGAAATAATTACGAAACAAATGAGGCTGAAGCCGCCAGGCCTTTCAATGGCATGGCTCTTCCAAGGTCCGAAGGGGCTGAATTACTGTGCTCCTGTGGTCAAATATTTTAGCCACAGTCTATTATGTGTCCTTTTCTCACTCACCTTACCAACCACCATATTTTCCCCTGGCAAAGGTAAGGTGGCATGGACCACTGGCATTTTGGTACCAAGTAAGAGGAAGTTGTACTAGGAATACCTTTAGCTTAGGTTTAGTGGAATATATGTATATGGTTTAAGGAAAGTCTGAATTATTTCATTCTTTTCTGTAGAAAGTGACATTACAGTTTGAGGCCAGCCTGAACTACAGAGTGAAACCCTGTCTCAATTCTCTAGTGCGAGAAACTGAAAGTGTAAATAAGGATTAAAATGATTAAAATGAATAATTGATAATTTGAAATAGGAAGAAAAGGGGTAGGGGAGGTGGGAGGGGAAGGGGGAGAGGAAAGAAGGGAAAGGAAAAATTATGAGAAAAGAAAAAAATGGAAACAAATTCTATTTAAATAGGGAAGGGTGGAGGGGGTGAAGGGCACACAGGTTAGGGGGAAAAAATAAGAACTAAGATACATCATGTACAGGTACAAGCACCCAATGATAAATGTAAATGTAAACCTATTGTATACCTAAAATGTTTCAATAAAAGAATTTAAGCAAAAAACAAACAAACAAAACCAAACCAATCTGTAACATCTCTGGAGTTTTGATGTTTGTATTTACCAGCTTTCATAAATTTTTATTTTTTGTGAAATTATTTTAAATTCTGAAGTAGAAGGTGATTTTTTATGCATAATTTTGTGCTTTTAGATAAGACACTAAGATTATATAAGCTTTAGACCCCTCAAAACTTGAAGCTTTCCCAGCTCTAGGAAGTCGTATGAAACACTTGGAGAGAAAAACTCTCAGACTGCGTGTGAGATTTAGACACATTCCTTAGACTAGATGGGAAACTCAAAACCCTTGGAACTAGGAATTATCGAAGAAATCTTTATTCAAAGGAGAGAATAAATGGGAATAACAAGTCTAATCTCATATTTGCTCGATAATTCCTCCTCTTATTTCAACATTACCCTGCTCAGCAAACAGAAATACAATCGGACCATTTAGAAGATTCTCTTCAGTACAAGGAAACTTAAAATAAACTCATGAAATAGTAAACAGTAAAAGGGAGCACACTGCCACCTTTAAAACACAGGAGGGATTATTCCTTCCTTGTCTACTCCAAACTTGTCTTCCTGATATGTCTGAAAAATTTTCCTCTGTACACATCTAATATCAAAGGAAAGAGACCTAAGGCTGTCATTAAATATTGTGTAGCATAAGTGGGTTATTTTTTTAAGAGTAGGAAAAATTTATTCGGAGAAAGAAAGCTTCTGCCTAAGAGAGACAGAAGAGGGACTGGAAAGTGGGTTGCCCACCCACCCCATTTCAAAGATATTTTATACAGCAAAGCCATGTGGTGAGGTGGGTACAAAGTGGGACAAAACTATGACCAACCAATAAGATTACAAGTACAGTCACCCAGGCAATATTGATTAAATGGAGGTCAAATGTGGGAGCAAGTCACATAACAAGCATACAAGGATTTTTGGTGGGTTTTTAATGTGTTTGGAAACTAAGACCTATAGACATCTGTCCACATCCACGAAACTTCTGAAATACCCAAGGACTCCTATTTTCGTATTGCTAGACACAGCCCAGAGTCAGCTGAATTAATGGGGAATAAGTCTTCACCAATTAGCAGAATTTAATTCTGAAAAGAGTAACCCATGAGTGTGAGGCAATATGAATGACAAGCTGCCTTACAAGGCCAGGTGCTCCAGTCGGGGCTTTCTTGGATAGGCAAAGAAAGGTAGATCAAGTACACTGAGTTTCCATTTCTTCCTGGAAAACAAAATCAACAACTGAGGTTGATCCACTGTATAGCCTCACCTAATGGATGAGGTGTACTTAAATTTTATCTTTGAAAGAAAGTATAGATACACCACATAAAAAGTGTTACGAATACAGGTAGGAAGTTCCTTCATATTTCTAGACACAAATGGTTAGCAACATTGAAGATTAGGGAAAGAGGAAAGACATAAATTATATACAGTCCATGATACTTTGCATGGTGAGGGCTTTTGTAATGTTCCACAGTCCAAGTGTCATTCCTGCTAATGATAATCGCTGCTAGCATTTATTAAGTTAATTATATGTTTCAGGAACTTTATTTTTTGGTGCTAGGGTTTGAATACATGGCCTTTGCCTGGATCTTTTTTTAACCTTGAGATTTCAGATATGCATATTCACTCACTCAATCCACACATTGTGGGTAGCTACTATTATCACACCCCATTTTACAGAGACTGAAATCAAGGCACAGAAATGTGCAGACTGTAGTGAGAGGCACAAAGTGGATTTCTGTAGAGCCAGAATTCAATCCAGCAGGGGTATACACAGCCCAAGCTATCCCTTCACCTTTCAGCCACAGGTAACGAGCTGCCCTCTCCCTACACCTCACCTTCAGCTTCTGAAAAGAGAATTCTCAAAAATCCAATGTAATTGGCACCTTTAACAAGATGTGGCTATTAATTTCCAAAAGGGAAGCAAAATGACTTTGGAAATTCATGGGGAAATAAAAATTGTTCGTTTCCTTTGAGTTGGTATTAAAAAAAGTGCTTTTTGTTCTGTTCACAGGTGGATGCCAAATCTGTGAGCTTTACCCTGAAAGTCTTGCAGCTTCATGGTCTCTACATTCTGGGGCTACAGTAATTTAGAGAGAATTAGGTAATCACAGAGGATGTGGTCAGCTGCAGCAGGACTCATCCTCTTGAAACAGTGCGTGGGAGTTAGAGCTAATTAATGCAGGTCCTAAAAAATTCTGCATGCCTGCACAGAGCTTTAGAGGACAGGTAGCATAACATTCTCAGAATGACAGCCACTGAATCCCCCACTTCCTGGCTGAGATTTTCTAAAGGCTAGAAAGGCAGAGCCTCCTTGCTGCCAGATGAGGAGGCTCTGGGCAATGGGACAGGGGCAGACAGATATATGCAGGAAGGCAGGGTAGCAAAAAGGCAGAGACATGTGGCTGTCACTACCTGCTGTCCTCTTCCCTTGCTTTGAAGCAACAGCAGCATCTTTGTGCCTTATTTTTTGGGAAAAACTAGGACTATCTCATAGGCATCAGCCTGCCGGTCAGGAGCCCCTTCAGCACTGTCAAGCCACCTCTTGTCTTCTTGGTATGGTAGAAAGAGAAAGGCCTATTATTTTGAACATGGTAATAAAGTGTTCCCTTATTTGTTGATACCTGCAATCCTGATAGGCAGGAAGGAAATAAGAGATTGGGAGGGGCCAGTTGGAGGTCATCCACAGGCAGCAGGGACTACTACAACAGGGGCACTCTCTGCCATATGTGTACTAAAAAGGCACTGGGAATGTTTAAGAACCTAAAAATAAGAAGGTACCATCTCTTTTTGAAGTGCAAAGATTATGGTTGAATTTGAAAGGAAACTGTTTTTTTTAGAATAGTTCTAAATTTACAGAAAAGTGGTAAAAGCAGTACAGCATTATTATCTCATACAACTAACTGTAAATTGCTTTCCCCATTATTAACATCTTACCTGATAACTACAGGAAGGTAGTGCTTTTGCTATGACCAATAAACTAGTAAGAATATGTTATTATTAACTAAAATCCACAAGCTGTTCAGATGTCCTTAGTTTTTGCCTAATCGTCTTCTGCTCCTGTGCTTTTCTGGGGTGGCCCATTACATTTAGTCGTCATGCATCCTTTGGCTCCTCCTGGTTGTGAATTTCTCAGATGTCCCTTGTTTTTCATGAGAGTATTAAGGTGTATTGGGTCAGGATTCTGTAGACTGCACCAAGTTAGGTTATTGGTGTCCTGATTAGATTGGGAGTATGGGTTTTAGGACCACTTACATGATATACCTCCAAAATGCCCACTCACTATTGATGTTACTGGCTGTTTTGTGATTGAGATACATCAGTCAGGTTCCTCTGAATTCATTTTTCTGCCTATTCTCTGCACTCCTTGTATGGAAGACACTACTCCAATGGTCCACATTAAAGTAGTGAGCTCCACTGATTTGTGGGAATTGTGTCTACATAGCTTATCGGCAATTCTTCTTCACGGATATATTTGTTCTCCCCAGTTACATATTTATCTCAGTAATAATCACAATCATGGGTATTTGGTGTGTAAGTTAGACT